CCGGTGGGGGTGCTGTGACAGATCCTTAATCCTGTGACTGGTGTCCTTAGAAGAGAAAGGGGAGAGAGATTTTTGGACACCGGGAAAAGGCCATGAGAAGACCCAGGCAGAGATTGGAGTTATGCTGGCATAAACTAAGGGTCACCAGGAGCCACCAAAAGCTGGAAGAGCCAAAGGATTCTCTCTCAGGGGGTCCCTGGGTGGCGCAGCGGTTTAGCGCCTGCGTTTGGCCCAGGGCGCGATCCTGGAGACCTGGGATTGAATCCCACGTCGAGCTCCCGGTGCATGGAGCCTGCTTCTCCCTCTGCCTGTGTCTCTGCCCCCCCCCCCCTGTGTGTGTGACTATCATAAATAAATAAAAAATAAAATAAAAAAAAAGGATTCTCTCTCAGAAACTTTGTAGCGGGTGTAGCCCTGCTAACACTTTCATCTCACGCTTCTAGCCTCTGGTGAGGACAAATTTCTGGTGGTTTGGTTTTTTAAAATTTATTTTATGTAAACTCTACACCCAATGTGGGGCTTGAGCTCATGACACCAAGATCAAGAGTCACATGCTCTACCGACCAAACCAGCCTGGTGCCCCTGAATTTCTGTTGTTTTAAGTCACCATGGTTTTGATAACGTGTTACATCAACTGTAGGAAACTAATAATCCTTCCACCAAAATAGAAACACTGTTAAACTCTATTTGGAATTTGTATCTTATCAAATAGTAACCATTCTATGTTACCCCTTTCCCATTATTGCTTTCTTTCCTTTAATTTCTATATGTGGTGCTTATTACTTCTAAGTTTTTGAAAGTGTACTATAGAATATTGAAGATATACAGAGAAACATAAAGAATAATACAACTATCCATTCATCCAATATCAGCTATAGTTATGAAACAATGTCAAAATATTTAAATCCTTGGTATATCCCTCCCTTCTTCTCCTCTACCATCTCTTAGGGGAAATCATGTTCCTGAATGTAGACTCATTTATTCCCAGTTATCTCCTGGTGTCCCATTACTAGAAGTGTGTTTAGCCCCAAGCAATACATTATCTTGTTGCACTATTTATTTATTTATTTATTTATTTATTTATTTATGATAGTCACAGAGAGAGAGAGAGGCAGAGACACAGGCAGAGGGAGAAGCAGGCTCCATGCACCGGGAGCCTGACGTGGGATTCGATCCCGGGTCTCCAGGATCGCGCCCTGGGCCAAAGTCAGGCGCCAAACCGCTGCACCACCCAGGGATCCCTTGTTGCACAATTTAAAACTGCAAAAATGGTGTTGTTCTGTATGGATTCTTATGCAACTTTTAATTATTTCATTTCATTTGTGAGATACATCCATGTTGGAATATGTTCTCCTGATTCATTCATTTTCATTTATGTACAGCATTCTGCTGCATGAAAATAACACTATTTTCTTACTTTTGGACACTTAGGCTCTATAGATTTTTTTTTTTCTATTCAAACCATGTCTATTATACTTAGAGCATAGGCACAATAATCCTCTAGGATATATACTCATTCATGGATCCTAGAATGTACTATCTGCAACTTCACTAGATACGTCATATTATTTTAAAGTGTTTATAATAATTTAGGTTTTACCAGCAAATGTGTATGAATTTGTTTTTCTATATTTACCTCAACATAGACTTTTTTCCTTTTTTTTCTTTTTGCATGTCCCCCCCAACATAGACTTTTAATTTTTAAATTTTTGTTAACCTGAAAGGCATGAAAGGAACCTTACTTTTTTAAAGATTTATTTATTTATTTTAGGGGGGAGGGCATAGGGAGAAGGAGAAGGAGAGAATCCTCAAGCAGACTCCCTGCTGAGCACAGAGTTCCACTCGTGAATTCAGAAAGATAATCTCCAATATTTTGTTCTTTATGTTTTTGAGTTTTGCTTTTTCACATTTATATTTTAATACCCTTGGACTTCTGTTTTTGTGTGTGTGTGTGTGGTATGAAATAGAGAATTATTTTTTCATATAGATAAACTATGGTGTCCTAGCACCATTCATTGAAAAATTTATCTTTTCCCACTGATCTGCAGTACTAGCTCTAACCTGTATTAAGTTTTACATGTGTGTATATTAGTTGTGTATTGCTGCACAACAAATACCCCTAAAGCAGCTAAAAACAACAAAAGTTTGTTATCTGATAGTTTCTGTGGGTTAGGAATGTGGGAATGGTCTAGATGGATAGTGCTGGCTTAAGGTTTCTCACAAGGTCAAAATTAAGGGGTCAGCCAGGGCAACAGTTCCATCAAAGCTGCATTGGGCCAGGACCCACTTCTAAGCTTACATGTGTGGCTGTTAACAAGACCCCTCAATCAGTTCCTTGCCATTGGAGTCTCTTCATAGTGTTGCTGACAACGTGGCAGCTTGCTTAACCTCTGAGTGAGAGATTGGAGAAAAAGAAAGGGAGAAAAAGCTCCCAAGACAAGAATCACTATATAATCCAATCTCAGAAGTGACATCCTTTCACTTCTGCTATATTATATTCTTTAGAAGTGAGTCATTAAATCCATATCCGGAGGGAGGGGGAAGGGATAATGCAAGAGTGTGACTACCTGGAAGGGGAGATTATTGGTGCCATGTTAGAGCTGCCTACCACAGTTTCCATTTATTGGTTTGTACCTACCAATGTCATTACCACACCATCTTACTATAGCTTTATAATAAATTTTATTATCTAGAAGGATAGGTTCCCCTATTTATTTATTTTTCAAATGTATTTTGCCTATTTGGGGACCTAAAAATAGAATCTAGGAGCACCTAGGTGGCTCAGTCAGTTAAACACCTGCCTTCAGCTTAGGTTATGATCTCAGGGTCCTGGGATTGAGCCCTTCATCAGGCTCCCTGCTCAGTGGGGAGCTTGCTTCTCCCTTTCCCTCTGCCTCTACCCCTGCTTGTGCTCCCTTTCTCTCTCAAATTAATTAGTTAATTAATTAAATAAATATAGAACCTAGAACCAGCTTATTTAGTGAAAAACCTATCAACATGTTTATTAAAATTGCATTACATTAACAGATTCATTTGCAAATCAATCATTATTTTGTGATATTGAGTTTTTCCATCCATTTTATATGGTTTATTTCTCCTGTATTGTGGGAAGTTCATCAGAGGGTTAGAGGGAAAGAACAGTTTAGGATGTCTTTTCAGTAAAATATCTCAGACAAATTTCTTTTGTCTGGGCTTCCCATGGAAAAATTCATTGGTAGTGCACAGTGTACAGAGGGTTTGTGTTGCCTCCATTCCTGGGTTACCAGTTTTAAGTTCTATTTCCATGTTGAAGTTCGGTGGGTCCAGCACACTGAGTACTCCCCTCTTACAAGAACAGCATCCCTCTTCTTTTTGGGGAGCTGCTTCTGATCCCACTTCACCCGGGTGGTTCTAATCCTGGCTCATGGCAGTGCCCTGACCACAAGAGTAAGTAAGAAGTCTAGGCCAATCATAGCTCCTTCCTGGATTTTATCAAACTGGAATTCAGGGAAGTGGTCCCTCCCTCTCAGGTAAGAGGCTGAGAGGCTGGGCGCTCTGACTAGACTGATGAAGTAAATATATCTGACAAAATGAAGTCGAGATCAAGAAAGAAGCTGAGATGAGAGATGGAGACATCTTGGTGATGGCCAGGTGCCACATACTGGGTATTTGGTGCCGGATGCATCCCTGCCCTGTTTCAGTTTGATTAGGTGAGCCAACAAACTCCCATTTTGCCCAACTTTTTTTTAAATAATTTTTTTAAAAAAATATTTTATTTATTTATTCATGAGAGACAGAGAGAGAGGCAGAGACAGAGGCAGAAGGAGAAGCAGGCTGCATGCAGGAAGCCGGATGCCTGACCCGATCCCACCACCACAGGATCACCCCCTGAGCAGAAGGCAGCTGCTCAACCACTGAGCCACCCAGGCACCCCTTGCCCAACTTCTTGCAACCAAAATTCCTAACATGTATCTAACTTCTTGCTGATTTACATCAACCCTGCTATTCACTTAAAACTCTTTCTCAAATCTCATTCCTCATTTACTTATTAACTTAAAGCCCTTTTCTAAATCACATCTATGCCAGTTATGACCATTTAGTCTTCTAACATCAGGAAATCTGTATTGAGCATGTACTGTGCCAGTCATCCAAGAACGAAGTCTTCCGATGAACACAATCTAAATATGTGCCTTAGTAAAATTAATGCAAAACACATACTGCAGGTTGTGGAAACTTAAATCCTAAGTCGTGAAGCCCTGATTTAAATGGTCAGGTTTGGTCGGTGTCAAATGACCTTTATTTTTTTTTTTAATTTTTATTTATTTATGATAGTCATCACAGAGAGAGAGGCAGAGGGAGAAGCAGGCTCCATGCAGGGAGCCCAACGTGGGATTTGACCCCGGGTCTCCAGGATCGCGCCCTGGGCCAAAGGCAGGCGCCAAACTGCTGCGCCACCCAGGGATCCCGTCAAATGACCTTTAATTCACGGCTTCACGACTTAGGATTTAAGTGTCATTTGAACCTGACCAAAGTCCTGCCAGGAAGCTCAGGGAGGGGTCAGTAATCACTCCAAGCTTCCGGAGCGATTAAATAGTGGAACCAAAACTTGAACCTGGATTTTTGATCAAGTCAGAGTCGTTTTAATTATCCTGTACCGCTTACACTGAGAAAATACTTTTAGATCCTTATACTTCAGAAAGGAAAGCTCCCAATTCTCTTTCCACCAGGTTCCAATTTCCTACCGAGTTGCAGCAGTGAGGTATGGATGTTTCCTGAACTTTAGCAAGTTAGGTCCAGAAGCGAAACGGGGAAATCACGCTTTCCAAGCCGGCAAGGTTTTTTGGGTCTTCCCCGCGCCTCCCCTCGAGCGCAAGGCACCTTGGGAGTTGTAGTCTTGAGCCGCGGAGTCCTGTGGGGCCCAATCAGCAGAGAGCCAACTTGCCCTGCGCACAGTGATTGGCTGAGCATCAGCGGCTGCCCACCCCCCCACCCCCCCCGCCCGGCGCCGTCCCGGCGTCGCCGGGCCGGGCAGCGCCGGGCGGGGAGGAGCGTGGGTGGCTGCGGTGTTTTCGCGAGCGCAGTCGCCGAAGCCGCAGTTGGGCCATGGCAGAACCGCAGCCAGCGTCCAGCGGCCTCACCGAGGAGGCCGCCCTCGGCTGCTGCTCCGAGCCGGACCCCAGCACCAAGGTGGGCGCAGAACCGCCATCTCCCGAGGAGCGGTCCCCGGAGGGAGCACATCCGCGGGCTGAGCCGGGCCCGGCGCGGGCTGGGGTCGACCCCGGTCCGGCCGCCGCCGCCGCCGCCGCCGCCGCCGCCGCCGCCGCCGCCTCCTCCTCCTCCCGGGGCCTTCCGCCTGGGGGTGCCCGGTGGGCGATCGCGAGAGGATCCGTTTCCCCAGGGACTGCGGCCCTGCCGGCACTAACCCGTTTACTTTGGGGACGGTACCTGGAAGCCAGGCCCAACCCAGAGTCAGGGCCCGTGTCGGTGGGTGTGCGTGTTCCCCGGGTCGGTGGCGATGGCGGGCGGGCCGGATTCCGAACGCCCAAGTGCGGGCTCGAAGGTCCGGGCTCGAAGGTCCCCATCCACGCGGCCCCTCCCGGCCCCTCCCGGCCTCCCCTGGCTGCGGGCTTAACTCCTCCAAACTAATCGGCTCTCACCGAGTTTCGCTGTTGCTTGGTGGCTCTTGGTTGCTCACGGCCACGCTTCTGGCCTCCGCCTCTCTCCCCCTCCCCGTGCTTGGTGGGACCCAGGAGGGCTGACGGTATCGTGGAACTTCCTCCGCCGACCCCTCTCATCGCGGCTGAGACCCAGTAAGAGGAGGGGCCCGTTGCATCCCTCCAGCTTGCCTGACTTGTCTGCACGGAGTCAGTGTGGCTCACTCAGGTGTGGTGCCGGCAAGATCCAACACGGCCGCCGCTCGGGGGGCTGACTCCAGCGCGCTTGTCAGTGCCAGTAAACGCCTTTGTATTTTTTTTTTTATTTTTTAAATTTATTTTATGATAGTCACAGAGAGAGAGAGAGAGAGAGAGGCAGAGACATAGGCGGAGGGAGAAGCAGGCACCATGCACCGGGAGCCCGACGTGGGATTCGATCCCGGGTCTCCAGGATCGCGCCCTGGGCCAAAGGCAGGCGCCAAACCGCTGCGCCACCCAGGGATCCCTGTATTTTTTTTTTTTTAATTGTGGGAATTTCTTTCTTTCTTTCTTTCTTTCTTTCTTTCTTTCTTTCTTTCTTTCACACACACAGAGAGAGAGAGAGGCAGAGACTCGGGCAGAGGGAGAAGCAGGCTCCATGCAGGGAGCCTGACGTGGGATTTGATCCAGGGTCTCCAGGATCAGGCCCTGGGCTGCCGGCGGCGCTAACCCGCTGGGCCACCCGGGCTGCCCTAGATGGCTGGAATTTCTAAATTCCTTAAAGATTGAGTGTGTGTTGATGAGTTTGCTCCCTGCTTGCTCCTTACCTTTGGCGTGGAGAGTCAGACACCTCTGCTTGCTAAAGCCTTTGACTGGCACCTGGTACTTAGCTTAGGAAAAATAGTAGTCACTGCAAAATTTAAGGGGGAAGAAAGGAAGGAAGGAAGGAAATTTCTTCTCACACGCATTTCCCTAGTATACCTAGTTATTTCTCATAGTATAAATTGAGTCATTCAGTACAAATTAATTTCCTAGATAACTGAGGATTTTATGTGCTAGGCTATTTTAAAAGATTTCAGAGATATCTTTATAAATTTCATTAAATACATTTTCTTGCCTTCTTAATTTGCGCTACACATAATTGAAATTTCTCTTGTTTATATGGAGTAATTACATCTTGAAATCAATACTTTTTGGCCCTGAAATACCATGTGGGAGACGTAAAATGAATATGCAGTGGCAGCTGGTATACCTCGAGTGTGCCAGCCCCTGGGGTTTTGTTTGAAGTATATTTCTTAGTTTAATCCTCACAACAACCCCATGAAGAAGGCATAATTATTATCTCTGTCTTACAAATAAGGAGACTCCAGCCCAGAAGTATTGAGTAACTGGCCCAGAGAGGCACCCACACTCTCAACTTCTACCCTCATTCGGCTTCTGAAGTACTGACTTAAGCAGTTATTTTGGAACTTGACATGAAGGAAAGTAAAAGACCTAAGTGAATTCAGTTCAGCCTGATGGTTGATCACCTGCTGTATATAAAGAAAAAGAACATGGTGTGTTTGGAGGATACTGGGATGAACAAGATGATGTCTGTCTCTTCACCAGACAGACACCAACTTGTAACAATAAGATGGAGCTGGGAGTACCATGCTGTTGACATTATAAAGCACCCCGGGAGTACAAGAGGTAGAAACTTTCGAAGGTAGCGTCGGTGGTATGGTATAGTCACGGGGTATTTGAAGTCTCAAGACCTACACTTGAGTCCCCAGATCTATATATATCATTGGCTGTAGTGATTTTAGCAGGGCACTGGGGCTGAGTTTGTAAAAGCAGCATAAAGAGAGCTGCAAGGAGGATAAAATGTATTACTGTTCTCTAAACTATGAAAAGTGATAGAATTCAAAGGTGCGCATCAGGGAGTACATCAACCAGAAGGTGGGGGTGGGCCTATATCTTAAAGCATGGATGGGGTTCCAAAATCATCTGTAAGACAGAGTTACATGGGAGGGGGGCATTCTGGGTAGAAGGAACATCTGAGCAAAAATGTGGTGAGATGGCAGAAATACGCAGTGCAGGCGTGTTCTGGAGAGGTGAGTTACGTGTTTTTGGTCAAAGTTCAGGTTATTTAAACAGTGGAGCTGTGGTGGAGAAGGCTAGAATGGGAGGTTGGAGCCTTACTCTCCTGGAGAGAGAGAGAGCTTTGAATGTCACATCTAAGGAAGCTAGATTTTATGTAGGTGGTAGGGAACCATTTGGGGTCTCAAAGCATTTTGTAGAGTAGATTGGAGGGATCCAGGTCTGGAGGCGATGAGAACACCTAAAAGGTTCTTCTAGAAGGTGAAATAAGTGATGAGGGCCAAGTTTGGAAAAGAGAGGGTAGTGGTGGTAGAAAGTCAACTTGCCTGTTGATCATTTGTATCTTTGCCTAGAAGGCAGGCCAAGGAATATACAGCTGCACCATATCCTGGTAATCTTATTGGCCAACTGTCTTCATAAGGCCAAATACTTCTTTTCCCAAGTGATAATCTCCTGAAATTAATTGTTTTTACAGTCTCTATTAGTGTCCTTTAAAGTAATAATTTGGAGTCCCATCCCATCCGAGTGGTAGGTGGGTCAGGGAAAACTTTGAGTGTTGGTGACACTTAGGCCGGGTTTTGCCAAATAAAAAGAAAGTACCTAGGTAGAATTTGGTGCAGGGGTAGGTGGAAGAGAGAATGGAAAGGAGGAAGGAAGGAGAGTGGCCAGATGGACGAATGACTGTTTTAGGCAGAGAGAATCATAGTAAATATAAAAAGCACAATGACATCAGAGAACTGATGCAGGAATCTACAGATAATAGGAGACTGAAGTTGTAGGCAGTGGGAGTTGAGGGAGAAGGTATGCAAGACAATCATCAGGATGCCCAAAGAAAATATGAGCACCCACCACCACCACCCATTATGTTTGTTTTTCTCACCCTGTAAAGGTTTCTATTTGGCAAATACATTTTATTTATATTTTATGGTATATATATTTTATTAGTATATTTGTACATGTATATAATTTAAATACATATTCATTGGGGGTGCATGCTCTTTTTTAACTGATAAAGAGTTAAAACATTCAAAATGACTAGGGGAGTGCTAACAAATGATGAAATTAGAGAAGTATGCACTAATCATATGTGCTTGCTTTGGGGACTTCCTCTGAAGGAATGATTTTTAACCCAGAAATGACAACAATTGGGTTTTCACTACAGAAAGATGACTCTGGTACTTTATGAGAAGTTCAGTGGCTTGCATCTGGGTAAGCCTGTAAGAAGCAGAGACAAGGGACGCTAGGACAATCATCCAGGGAGGAAGTAGTAAGGACACGAGCAAGGTAGTACTTATTAGAATGACAAGGAGAAAGATTCCAGAGGGATTATAGGAGTCATTTTGATAGGTTTGATAGGACGCTTGCACTGGCTTACTGAGAAGTTGAAAGGGAGAAATCTAGGAAGACTCCAGGTGTCTGACTTGAGCTGACAAGGGATTCTAGAGACACTGTGCTAAGCACTTTAATGCATTATCCCATATGCTTTCCAGCTCAACTCTGTGAGCTAAGAACTATAATTATCCCCATTCTAAAGATGTGAAAACTGAGGTTCAAAAAAGGTAATGATTTACCCAAGGCAATGGTGGTAGAGTTAGCATTTGAACCATATTGCCTCTGAAGAATAATTTCTCTCACACTTGTGTGTTTTCTCTCCCTTTGCATGAGATTTTAAAGGCCTCATGATCCTGAGGGCTTCTAGGATTTTCCTATTTCTTGTTGTAAGAGTAGTCTGGCAGGTGTGTTTACTAATATCACAGGTAATTTTTAAATTTAAAGAAGTTTCTTTTGTGTCTCCTAGCTATTTCTATTGCCCTTATCTGTAGGGTGGGGATCCCTGGGTGGCGCAGCGGTTTGGTGCCTGCCTTTGGCCCAGGGCCGCGATGGATCCTGGGGACCCGGGATCGAATCCCACGTCGGGCTCCGGGTGCATGGAGCCTGCTTCTCCCTCTGCCTGTGTCTCTGCCTCTCTCTCTCTCTCTATCATAAAAAAAAAAAAAAAAAAAAAAAAAAAAGCCTTATCTGTAGGGTGAGTATACTTGAAGTATGTCTTTGGCTGTTGAATTATAGAGTGGTAAGGAAAGAACCACATGAAACCAATTTAGATAAGATAGAATAAATGTAAAGGGAGTGGCTGAATTATTTTCAGGAACAATTTATCACATCCTGACATAGGTTGAGTCAGGCAAATAACACGAGAAGGAGGAAGATAGCGAAGAAAAAATATATCAAGCCATCTTCTACATCAAACATGTTTTCCAGCTGTTACATAGAAAACAATTTCTCAGATATGCTTGGATCTCCAAAAGGGTCTTTCACTGAAGGCAATTGTGACTTTTAAAAGTAAGGAAAAAACAAAACTTCATCCATTTTTGTTTTATAGGAATATGATTCCTAGGCATGAAGAGCTAAGACCTTAACCCTTTGATGAGAATGTGACATTTGGTTAACTCTAGCTGTTTCCCCAAGAAACAAAAA